GTGGAGTATTCCCAGAAAGGCAGATCCTGCTCCCGGGGGTGACTCAGTGCAAACACGTCTGCCCTTCCCCTGTCAGCTGCCACCCCGGCACGGGCAAAACACGGTCAGACGACGGGGCTGTAGAGCAGAACCCAGCTCCAGCTCCCGGATCTGGGATGACAGAGTCTTATCACCTTTTCTTTAGCGAGCAGCGAAGCTCCTAGCTCTTGGGGTTGCAGAGCCTGACAACGTGTAGCAAGTGCATCTAAAGCAGGGACGTCCGCCTGAGTCTGCAGCCTGCCTGAAACGCTCTGTGCTGCTGAAACGCCTGGTAGTCTTACCGAGATGCGGACACCAAGGCCATGTCTGCACTAGGAAATTATTTTGAAATCACTCCGGCGTAGCTCTCTCAAACGAGCGGGTCCTCACGAAAGGGAGGCCTCAAAATTAGTCCAAGGCCGGCTCCCTTAGGGTATGTCTGCACTGCGGGCTGAAGTTGAATTAAGCTACACAACTGTGTGTGGGGACGGATAGCTCAGTGGTTTGAGCATTGGCCTGCTAAACCCAAGGTTGTGAGTTCGATCCTTGTGGAGATGGTTTGGGGTAAAAATTCATCAGGGATGGTCCTTGGTTCTGCTGTGAAGGCAGGGGACTGGACTTGATGATCTTCCAAGGTCCGTTCTAGGAGATAGGCAAATCTCCATTATAAAAAACTTCAGCTACATTAATTGTGCAGCTGAAGTCAAAGTAGCTTAACTCAGCTTTTGGCGCTGTCTGCACCGCAGGAAGTCGAAGGGAGAACGCTCCTTCCAACTTGTTACTGGCCCCTCCCACTTCCAATGAGCTGACTTAACCTAGACCGCTAATTCGAACTCTGGAAGATGGACAGTGGCAGCGTTGCTCTTCCTCTGTAGTGTAGACGGACCCTTCCTGTGGACGCGCTACCTCGACTTAGAGCCCCAGGCAGCTCTGGGGAGTGATTACTCGGAAGGACTCTGGGGAGGAGCTGTGTTGAAATAGCAGTAGTATGGACGTTGCACTGCCGCTATTTCGAAATCTGCATTATTCCTCGTGGAAGGCAGGAGTTATTTCAAAACAAGGGGCTGGTTATTTTGAAAGATTAACGGGCCTGGTAGTGTGGACGCTCCGCTTGTTATTCCGAAATAAGGGAAGTTATTTTGAAATAACTCCGTCATGTAGACCAGGGCCAACACCCCCAGCTTTGGGAGTGCCCCACCCCCATCCTGAGGGAGGGCTCTGTGTGGGGCAGAGAGGGCAGCGAACCTGCCCCGCCAAGGAAAGACGCCCCAGATGTTTAGCAACAGGGACCTTGCTGTAGAGTGAAGGGGGGGGGTCCTCAGTTGCCTTTCCAGGAAGGGAGAGGGTGCTGCCCTGCCCGGGTAGCAGCAGAGCCAGTGGCATGGATAGTGGAGCTGGAAGTGACTTCCCCTGGTCCAGCAAACTCTCTTGTTTGGGACAAGTCAATTTCCCAAAGGTGCCAGACCAGGGAGGTCCAACCTGCATACAGGCAAATCTGGAAGGTATAATATGCTCTAAAGGCATATTCACTTATAGTAATGACTTAAAAAAAAGCTAGTACAACAGCATTAAAACACAAACTCTATCCTTAAATAATTTCCATTAGTACATGCCATGTATTACACAGCAAATGTTCACAGAATAATTGGCACAGTATTCTGAGCAGTACAAGTATTGCACACAAAAATTAAGTTCTATATTGCATATTGTGACAGACCTAGACCAGACGTCTGTCGTTCACTGGTGGAGGGAATACGTGCTGGAGATTGGGTAAACAGCTTTCTCTTCCCTAAGATAAAGGCCAAAGCCTAAGTGCAGCATAATCAAGCAGGCACCTGGGGGCAATTGGAACTTGCTAGATGCCCCAGGTGAATTAGACACCTGCAGCCCATTCAGGCCTGTGGGGATGCTAGAAAAGGTGCTCCCCTAGGCAAGGAGGAAAAAGAGCAGAGGTGGGGGTGTGGAGTGCGAGGGGGGAAGGGGAAGGGGAAGAGGAAGCAGGAGCAGGAGCAGGAGCAAGAGCAAGAAGATGATGATGATGATTGATGAGCAGGAGCAGGAGCAGGAGCAGGAGCAGGTACCAAAGGGAAGGTGCTGGGAGGGATGGTTTGGGGACGTGGCCCAGGGAAAAGCTCCCAGATTGTGCGAGGCAGTAACCCTGTCTGGTGCCACTACCTGAGGGTCCCAGGGGTTCCCCCACCCTCCCCACGACAGCTCAACCCCTGCCCCAAGGGAGCTCAGGGCTCCAGAGGGGATTTTCCCCCAAACTCAGGCACTGCGATACACGTGGCTCGGCAGCTGGGGCTCCTGCCTCTGGTGAAGAGCCCGAGGCCGCGTGGAGGGCCACAGCCAGCCTGCGAGGCTAACCCTAACCACCAGGGGCATGAGCCCCACGGGGAAGAGCCGGCGCTTTGCCACGTAACCTTGCTGGATTTTAAGCAGTCGGGCCCACATTTTCCAGGCTGGGCATCTGGCTCAAGCTGAACGCCTGGCCGGTCCTGGGAAAACTTGCTCAGCTCTCTGAGAACAAGGGGGAAATACTGACGGCTGATTTGCGACCCGGTGGTAGGACGGGGGGTGGCCCGGGGGGGCAAGAGGTGCCTTTTGCTCGTCCGAGCACCAGTCCTCTGAATGGAAACGTTTGCACCGGCTCAAGCCTTAGAGGCAGCTCAGCCGCATTAACTACATTTCCTGCAGAGAAACTTCTAGAAACTTGCAGGGAGCCTAGGACAGGGCAAGGGCGTGGGGCAGGGACAGGAGCTGTGGTGACGGAGGCAGGCGCTGTGATGAAGGGGGATGGGCGAGAGGGGTATGGAAGGATCCGGCTCAAGGAGGATCCGGGGGGCGATGGATCATCGATCACTGGAACGCTCCCTTCCCGAATATAAAAGGGACCGAGATCTGAGTCCGCATCCCTCTGCTGCTTAGCAAAGACTGTGAAACCCACTGGCCAAGTGTGTCCCTCTTGTGGTGGTCTGTGCAGGAGAACAGCCTACTACTGCTGCTGCTCCGGTGGGGGAGCTCTGGGCTGTGGGTGTAAAGGTCTCCCCCTGGCTGCTGCCCCATGTGGGATCGCTACGGTTCCCGGGCTGGAGCTTCTGCTGTTTCAGGTTTACGACCGTTTGTGTCCCGAGTGAGGCCGGCGGGGCGTGTGGAACAGGACGTGATTGCGTAACCAGGGACCGGTTATCAGAACGCAGAGGCACCAGGCTACAGCCTGCTGGGAGGGGAACTGCCTTCAAGGAGAGACCCTGGCTGGCTCTCTGCTGCCTCCCAGCTAAGCTCCGCCTGCGTGTAGGCGGCTTGTCCTGCACCTTGCACTGCAGGAGCTGGCCTGGGGTGACTTGCTTTGGGCCGCAGTACAAAGAAGCGGGAGGGGTAGAAACCTTTTTACAAATGCAACCCGGCAGGCTCCCCTGATCACCTGGCTCCAGCTGCTGGGGCTTTAAGAAAGGCACCAACCGTGGAGCCTCGTTAAAACCAGACTTGGTGCAGGGCCGGAGCGGCGCGGTGGGTGGCTGCTTCTCTGCTGCAGAGAGGGGTGTCGGGGCTTTCAACCCCTAGTGGCACCAGGCCTCCTAAAGGCTCGGCCTCTGCGCAAAGCACCTTCCTATTAACCAGGAGGGGGCGGTCTGTGTTTCAAACCAATGTATTTAACCCGGACCTAGCCTCTCGGGTGCCACGGGGCGCCTCGCTGGGTTCCACGTGCCACGCGAGCCCGTTTAGCCGGGCACGAGCGTTCAGCCCGGTATCAGACCCAACCCTGCTTCTAGCCCACCTGGTTAGGCGTGGCGGGACGAATCCCGCGCTGGAGCAGGCCAAGCGGGAAGCCCCGGAAGGCTAACCAATGTATTTAACCCGGACCTAGCCTCTCGGGTGCCACGGGGCGCCTCGCTGGGTTCCACGTGCCACGCGAGCCCGTTTAGCCGGGCACGAGCGTTCAGCCCGGTATCAGACCCAACCCTGCTTCTAGCCCACCTGGTTAGGCGTGGCGGGACGAATCCCGCGCTGGAGCAGGCCAAGCGGGAAGCCCCGGAAGGCTGCCGGTTTTGGACGCTGCTCCAGGTGAGGCCCGGGGCTGGGTGAGCC